GTTTAGTTATGAAACTTGGTAACTTTCAGGACTACTGAGATTCGCTGTATGTGAATCAAACAGCACACGCTTGATTTCAATGGGCGATAAGAAACACCTTCCAGTCTAAGTTAAACTTTCTGAATTACTATGCACTCAGTCTGTCTGTTTTCCATTAGGCCACACCATGTAAATTTTATGGATGACGTCCTTTGGGGACCCTATATCTAATGCGACAGGGCGAAAAAAAACAAGAAGGGCCCTAAAAAATAAGATGCCTAGATTAGAAATATACTAAGAGACGACAAATGTTAGGACACAAATTGAATGAGGTGACACAGATTAACAAGCAAGAAGTCTTTTATTCATCATCAAAATAGCAATAAATCAGGTGGAACAGCAGTTATCGTCCTGTCCTGTTTCTTTCACATTTTTGCAGGCCTGCAGAAACATTTTAGCATGTGCTCTTTACCCATTTTGCGTTACGGGTTTCACGTCAATCTAACGATTTGCGGCACTGTTGTGACTCTTTGGTCATAGTTGCAGGAAGCGGAATTTCTTGTTTTTTTTTTCTAGGAACAGGCCAAAATTAATGCGCGCGAGGACGTCATCCATAAAAAATTTACTTGGTGTGGCCTTATGTGACATTGGGACAATTAAAGAAGTAACTTTTCTGGTCATTTTTTTTACAATGTAAGTTGACTCAACACTTACATTGCAGATATACGTGCCATTCAGGAAGTGCAGGTGTTAGAATCTGTTGCCTAACGGGTGTGATTGAAAGCTTGAAAGACAGCTGACAGTCATGTTTGCTTACATTCTTGTAGTTTATGGTGGCACCACAAACTGTGTTGGCACCACAAACTGAGTGCTTCTCGTGTGGGCTGATTTAGCATCAATCATAAATAGCAGAAACGCGAGATAATTGCACAAATATGTTGAAAAAAAATTGGATAACTTACAACAATAATAACACAAATTATTATTTTAAATAAAATATTTAAATTTTTGGTGCTAAAATGTTACACAATGCCCCTTTAACATCGCAGTGTGTAGGCTCACCTGTGGGAGAGGAAAACGCAATAGGAAACAGTAAGAAAAGCAGGCGGTCCGAATGCCGGACGGGACACTTCCTACCCCATCAAGGCTGTGTCCTTGTTCATGTGAAGACTACTAAAGAGAGCTTGCGTCATATCCCGTCTCTAGTAGTGTCTAATTGGGCTCCATTCTAAACTGAAGATGCTCGAACCACCCAAATGTGCAGTCTTGCCGCTCGTTAGTGATAAACGAGGACCATTAGCGTCTGCCTGTGTTGGAGAGTAGCTCATGTCGGGTACTCAAAACTTTACAACTTCAACACGAAGGTTTGAAAGTCGTTATGTCCAATGAGGCTGGCAACCGTGGACGTAGACATACTTGTCATTACAAAGTGTCCACTCGTGCCCAAGTATATGGTTCGGCACGAGTATATGTAGTAACACTAGTAGTACTCAGACACTCACTCTGTACATCGAGATTTTTTTATTTCACTGCGAACTCTCTCCACTTCTCCCTCTCCACTTCTCCCCTTCTCCCTGACAGCTCTCATCGATATCCTTACTTCTGCTCAGTTTTTACATAATTTTCAAGTTAGGCCATGTTGATTTGATTATATGGATGACGTCCGCGAATGCGTGAATTTTCGTCTGTTTCCAAAAACTTTCGACCAAACTGTAAATCGTGCAAAGCAGCTGAAAAATGGGCAAGTACATGCTGTAAATAGCAAAAACTATTGGAAAATGACACTAAATGTCGTAGAATGCCAATCTTAATTTCAAAGTTAAAGAAGAAAACGTGAAGAAATGAAAATGGAGAGTTTTTATTCACCATAGCATACCGCGAAATTTAGAGCCGTCCAATTCTGGATGAGGAAATCTGTCTGATGTACATCTTGCTGTCAAGTTCGTACCATGTTTTCGCCATTGTTTCAATACTCGATTCGTTTGAAATAGCCCAAAGGCAAGATACACAAGGAGTCCCTTTATATTCGGTGCCACCAATAGATATTATTGGCGGCACCGAGAATAAAAGGGCTCCACGTTCTAGCGGCTAGAACCAGCCTACAACAAGCAACCGTTTTCTGTCAGCGACTTTCCATCTTTGCCTAGCTCTCAGATATCAGTACGCTATATTAAAGGGTTGATTCAACTTACAACATTAAAGAAAATGACCAAGATATCGATGTTGAAAATCAATTTTACTGCCCTACTTCTTGGTGCATTTTGTAACCCTAAAAGATTAATATCTTCTGAGTTTTTAGTGTAAAGACTCCCATTCATCTGTAAGCCACATGCCGTGGCACGTTACACAGATTCACGCGTGGAAACGTACGTGTTCACGTATGGTAAGTACGGTTTCAACAACACCACTCGGGCTGGAGCTGACACATAGCCAGTAATGTGCGCACGGACAGCGGCTACGTGAGGTACCGGCTACGGCTGCCATGACGGTGTCTTATCGCCATGTGGCGCTTTTCAACTAAACTTAAAGTTGCTAGGGATAAGATCCAACAAGTAGAAATTTAAAAAAAATGTATATATTCTGGGGCCTTTTGGCTACGGAATGCCATAGCCAGAGAATAAACTTCGTCACCGTCGGAAAGTTCTATTTGATTGCGTGAGAGTGGGAGGTGTGGCCATTTACATCATGGCGAACCAAGACTGCTTCATCAACGACATCATAGTGATCATATGAAGGCAGGCCAAAATCGGCCGTTGGTCATCATGGTGTGATACTACCTATGTACCGTACTGTATAGCATCATTGATGATAACAGATAGTAGCACACACATGGTTGCAATCCTTTCCTTCTAAGTAGTACTACGTAGATAGAGCTAAGACTCAAATGTCAGCTTCAGCCCATGCAGCCGATCCCGGACAACGTCAGGCCGCTTACCGCTGGACACTATATTCGGCCGACTGACAATATGTCTCATATGTCAACTGCCGTTGCCTACGGTTCATTACTGTATCTTGGCGAGAAACAGGTCACTAAAGCCACAGTCACGAACACTGCACACTGCACAATGTGAGTAAAAGGTACATCAGCCACCCACTCCCACCCACCGGTGTAATCACTAATCCCCACTCCGCACCGGCATCATTTGTCACCGTTCTCCGCTCTAATTGGGTTTCCCCACTGGTTATTTACCAATTTACCGTGCAGTTTGGCGGCCTCCGGCGGGACCACATGTCATTACGGCACGGTAAGTAAAGATAGTGCCAGCCCTTTCAACTCATTAGTCCTGATTCTCAGGACTGATTCGCTCTGAATCATGGCAATTTCTCCGACCTCGGAGTTTTGTTGAAAATGTATACTGTTTAACCTCGTTCTAATCACCCTTTATTATCATAACGGGTTGGTAATCACATGCTTTCATCTTTTAATATGTAGCACAGATAAAAAACATGTATACATGTATAAGGGCACGTCAGAAATTCGGTGTTTATGTGTGTGTTTATATGTTTTGTATGTGTGTTCGTGTTTGTGTACCCGTGTGTGTGTTCTAGTGGGCTTTGTGTGGGTTTATGTTTGTATGTGAATGATTGTTGATTTGTGTGTCTATGTGTATGCTTGTGCGTGTGTGTGTGAATCTGTGTGTTTATGTGTGCGTCAGAGTTTATGTTTTATTATTATTCTAACATCTAACACAAGACATGGTGACGGCACGTTCAAGTATTCTTATTTTTATGCCGCCACCAACGCAGAGGACAATAGACAACACTCATTTTCACCTGTGTGGAAAGTCATGTCAAGTGCCTTTACCAAGGCCACAAGATCGGTGGCATGAAGGGATTCAAACTCAGGACCTCTTGGTTCTGAGCCGAACACTCTGCTGTTACGCCATGTGACCTGTTTGTTTGTGTGTGCGTGTGTGTGTGTGCGTGTGTGTGTGTGTGCTGTGTGTGTGTGTGTGTGTGTGTGTGTGTGCGTGTGTGTGTGTGTGTGCGTGCGTGCGTGCGTGTGTGTCAGTGTGTGTGTGCGTGCGTGTGTGTCAGTGTGTGTGTGTGTGTGTGTGTGTGTGTGTGCGTACGTGCGTGTGTGTATAATGTTTCGTGTACAACTCTCCAGTATGTGTGGTTGTCCGTCCACCCGTTGTCAGTGTGGTACGTAGCTGAGTAATATCACCACTGCGCTGAGTGCTCAGTGACGAATCGCTTTGTGATCCTATTTTGTGCCGCAGATTCAGAGGTTAACCTCTCTCCTAAACCTCCGGCTTTACCAAAGGGAAATCAACGGCAGTGAAAACACGTTATCTACTGCCGAGGTCCGGCGGTTGGAATGAGAGTGAATGATCACGAGGTAATGAAGACATGTGCTTCTCGCTAACAGAGGCGATTATTCCTCCTCTCGGTCCGCTGCCCACTCCGTTCCGGTTGAACGGGATTCCTCACCAATCATGTGAGAAAGTCTCCGCAGATTACATGACATGGGAACCCCGGAAATGACCTCTGCAGCTGTAATTACAGTTCTAGATCCTTCCTAAAGGTGTGGGCTCATTCGTCGTAAGTCGTCCTACGATTTTGGTGCTGTACAATTTTTAATCAGTTTTAAACAGTCTACCACACAAAGTAAAATCTGCACCCAAAAGCAGTTTTCGGAGGAGCTACTTGTATGTGTAAACTTGTTGATAGTTGTATTTCGTATTTTGATCTGTCACAGTGATCTGCATTTGCGTCTCTTTTAAAATATCTTCAGGAAGAATAGAATTTTAAACAACTAAATATGAAGCTAATGAAGAAATAAAATATCCAACTAACAGTGGAGAAGCATCTAAAGCAGACGTTTTCGTAACAAGGCAGCTGAGTTTTGCACGACATACTAGTATGTGCACAACTGCCCCACGAATGCCCCCGACTTGTTGTTTTACTGATGTTCCTATCAATGTACTATCATTACATAGATAATTGATAACCTGCCTTAACGTCTTTCTTATCTACAGTAAAAACACATTCAAACGGACAAAGGCTTCCAACACCGATGTGTAATGTTTCTCTTGTGCCATTGTCTTCCCCATTTGTCTCCACTTATTTCACAATTTTTCAGTATTCTTGTTCAGATTTTTTCTACGACAGTGAAAGCTGTGCCCGTAAATAAAGAGCTGAGTCGGTCTAGGTCTACACGTTGGCACAACAAAGGTCCACACTGCTTACACATGATTATTCATATATTTTACATCGCAGACGAAATGCCTTTCCACGCATCTTTTTCCTATTTCATCTACAAAAACTCGGAAACTGTCAATTCTGTAATACACATGTTAAAACTGAATATTGATTTTTAAATTAGTACTTTATCTTTGATCCGCCCCCTCTATTGATCCATTGGACACCTGTATATCTGTGTTCTGTATCTGTATAGCCGGTATGACCGCTCTTCGGCGTAACACACCAGGCATTCATCAATGTCCAAACCTATTCTCGTAAAGCCTCGTCAGTCAGTTCAATAGTTCAGCGGCCCCTTATGATAAACAGAGGCAATTAGAAACGTGACCCACTTCATTAGCTCTACGTTGTTACAATGGCTAGGTACTAGTGTACGATATTTCAAGAAGTTTTCCATGTCATATTTTGTATACATGTATAAGCTGAAGTAAGGAATAAAGGTCTTCGATACATTAATTCTCGCATTTACACAATTCTGCCAACTGGAGAAAGAACACTACCAGGATCGTTATTCTGGAGAAAATTTAAAGTGAGATTTTGGCATGAATCCGTCATGCTTTTGGCCACACAGGTTTGCGCATGTTTGGGATGAAAGGCATCCAGCGAGCTTTCCCTCCACCTGCCTTCTGGGGTGCCTTCTGAGTAGCGCCGCCTGTCGGTTTCTTCAGGGAGTACACCATGGCCCACGGAGAAGGTCCCCGCTTGTCTTCAGCCTCTCCCAGAAGTTCGTTCGCTCCGGCGTCTACCAGGAAGTCGCCATCGACGTTGTGAGGGGAGGCGAAGCCGCCGTCGGTATTTTCTGCCGCCGATCCTTCATCCATCTGCCGCCCGTACCTGCTGGACGGGAGGGCCCAGTACTCCCCGGCCTCTCTCCACGGTCTCTCCGGCCCGTCCTCCTCCTCAGACTCCCGCCCCAGCCGGCTGGAGTGCAGCGCGACGTCGGCGTGGCGGGTCCCCTCCTGTCTGGGGTCGCTGGTGTCCTCGTCCGACTCGCGGCCGTAGCGGCTGTTGTGCAGGGTGATGTACTGGAGCCCGCTGGCGGGGCTGCGGCTCACCCAGGCGTGCTGCCCGTCAGAAGTCACCACCGCCCCGCGCACGTTGGATCCCTCGTACGCCATGCTCACCATGACCATCAGGGCCAGTTGGGGAATCATCTTCGATCTTTTAACGAAGTTGAGGCTGCTACAAGAACTGGAGAGAAACAAAGACAAACAACAGACAAACGTTACTCAAATTAACTCAAGTTTTCTTTGCATAAACTATAGTATAAACAGCGAACTGTCAGGGGCAGTTGGGGAAGCATCTTCGATCCTCATACAAACTCGGTGCTGCTACAAAAACTGGAGACAAGAAAAAGAAAATCATTTCCTATCCGCCATCATCACCAGAATAGGTCAGTTGTAGCTCTGCAGCTCAGGCGACTGCAAGGTTAATTTTCTCTAAGTTGCCATCTGTAGTATACATAAATATTTCACAACGGAAAATGGGGAAACATCTTCGATCTTCCGACGAACTTTGCTACGTTTCACAAGTACGAGAAAATTCAGATAACAGAAAATCTATCTGTTGTACAAATCAACAGGTCACGGATCGACAAAGGGGGAAGTATCTTCGCTCTGCTTCGGTGGTGCTACAAGAACTACAATCATATAATATTTCATTGTTTGATGTCCATATTTAAAAATTGACAACAGTGTACAAATTGAAGACAAATTTAGACCCCGCTAAATACCACATACACCATGATGAAGAAAACAGAGCGAAGCTTGCAATGATAGGACTAGTACCTCCGAGTGGCAGATCGACAATTCACAGTATACCGTCTAACTAACAAAGTAAAAAAGTAAAGCATCCAATAGGCTATATATGTGCATACATAATAAAAACAACGATGATACATAACGATCGGTTCGTTGTATACTGAAACAGACAACCTCAGCAAACAAAATGCCATGAACATGATGTGTCCCATCTTCCCAGATGTTCTGCTGCCATTCCGTCTTCTCGGCAGTGGAACATCACTAATTATCTGGTCGACAATTGACCTGTACAACCCGTCTTTGAAGCTGTCTATCATCTATCATCATCTTGACTCCAATCACCCCCGTATATCGATCAAATCATCTATCGATTATTTCTTCAAAGTACGCTGTATCCTGTCTTAGAGCGTCCATCCATTAATTTGATTTAGATTATCGACCAGGCCGAACGGCTGAAATATGCGACAGTTGAACCTAAGCGCTAGAGCGACGACGATTTAGCCTCTACCAGGCTTCCAGAAGCGGCCGTAAGAGCAGAAATTGGACAGATAGACATATGATATGCCAGGGGAGTTGGTCCGCGCTAGGAGCGGCAAAGTGTTGCGCTAGCTCCCCTGGCATGCCATATATATAGTTGGCAAATTTCTACTTCTTCCAACATCTTTTCGAAGTCTGGTAGAGACTATCAACGATTCCGATTTGCAGTTAGAGTATTTATAATATAGTGTTGTATTTATAATATAGTGCAATACTCATGCAATAAAGATTCATATAATGGGTAAGATGGAAGGTATCAACAATACCAAGGAAAAGAACATGGAAGGACATCAACAAAATTTTCGTTTGAATTTAATCTTAATAGTGAAATCATTTGAACGAAGCCGACAGAATTCGCTGTGCAAATATAATTTGTACTTTGAGTTACACAAGGCTCAAATTCCAGGTACGTACGGACAACTTATTTCCGCTTTTTCATTAGAATTTTATACATTCCATTTAATAGATAAAAATTTCGGTCACATTCTAGAAGGAGATAACCCTTACGGTGTAGAAATATGTAAATATATAAAAAGTATCAGTGATACGTCAACATCAGCATGGCAAATGGTACGGGGCCAATGGTAACTCGGGTTGCCAGTTCGATAGTCCCCTGCCCACCAATGAATCTGCTTGGAGATTATGTTATTAACACAAACAAACAAACAAACAAATAAATTACAAGTAATTTAACCTACGTATAAGTATATCAATAGATCAACATCAACTTCACAAGGAATCAACTTGGAGATTATGTAAAGTTGCTGTGTTTTGTAGTGCCAAAAAAGATTGTACGTTAAAAAATCCATTGCCGTCAAGTTCTTCAACATCGCAGCAAGAATTGATGGGCGAGGCACGAGTAGTTGGCTTACTACTTTTCCAAGAAAACCATTGAGACATCTGTACACAATATCAAGATCGATATATGACACTTAAAAACGACCAGCCGTTCGGTCAAGTACAATCAGTTACTTCGTATAATGTATTTTCTGACCTGAAGTCAAGGCAACGTTTTGCATGCAAGTCGACGTTTGAAAAAAACTGAAAGGCTTACGGCATGACATGAGGTATAGGATTCAAGTTCATAACTTGCGAGCATCTATCAACTAGAGACATTTATCCCGATTTATCCCTATTTCGAGGAGAAAAGAAGCTCTGATGGACTGAACGGAAAAACTTCTAGATGAGTATGAGGCTTCCTTTTGTTGTATATATATATTCCATATGTATAGTGCGCCAGCATGTTTTTCTGTACTGTAGTGTTTTACTACATTGATGTATCGGTAGTTTTGTGCGAAATACATCTGAATATTTTGTATATTTGTAAACTCGATACAATTCAGATGCTCATGTATGTCTGTCATATAAATTTAACAATAAATTGAAATGAATATGGGTTTAAATAAAAGACAATCAAATAGAAGAAGAAGAATTTGACGTTAAAAATAATATGGACTGTACAAAGTGTTTACGCTGATCAATTCTTGTCATTTTTTCCTGTATGAAAACGAGAAAACTATTAATGAAGTCATCACATCTCGTTTAATATTAGGAATGGCATAAAATGCCATAAAATTAACATAAGCTTTACTTCAATTTGAAATTTATATGACCGTTTTTGTTCAGGCTGAGGTTATGTAATCCTCAGATTTATGTAAAAGTTAATGGCTGCAAGTTGAAAAGCATTACAGGATTCAGGTTCTGAATTCTGCGTTCTAGTTTAGCAGTCAGTAGATGTTTCTCCTTACATATCCTTGTCACAAATGTTATCAAATATGTATATACCTGTTTTCCATGGGTAAATACGAAACATCCATGCATACATCAAGGGATAAAGTTCGGCTGTTCCAAACACTGTCTGAATCCCACCTTTCTTTTGCAAATTTTTTACATAAAATTAGTAAAAACGGCATACGAGAAACAAAGGTAGAAATTAGATAAAACAGATGGCATATATTCCCCTTACAGGACCCAGAAAAAATGCATTTTCAAAAATGATGAGCTGCAATTATCTTTACCCATCCCTATTGAGGCAGATGGCTCATTCATTTGTGTATCCCTTCGGGAGTGATCGTTGTGGTTAAAGAATAATGACTAGTGTTGGGTACTGCTGTCGGTGATTACTCCAGCGAGTGATAAATACTTCACAATTACCAGATGGATTTAAGATAAAGGCTGCCGTCAATGGTCGTAAAAGTCATTATTCATTTAACGCTAACAAGAAGCGAGAAAAAGTTGAACCTACAAAGTCATACTAGTATACTATGGGTAGTAGTTAGTCGGATTTGCATCAGTTTTGATCATTCCTGTGGTGTCTTGTAAAATTCCATAGAACGTCTGGTCTCATTTTCTATATCAATGAAACGGGAAGGTCCTGGTCACCATGTTGGTGTTTCTTGTTTCAGTTCAATGGATCGTTGCTGAACAGAATTTTGTGTTTGACAGATCTTTTTCAGTATTTTTCTGGTCATGTTGTGATACACTGCAGAATTTAGTAGTGAGAGATTAGTAATTAAAGAGATTCAGATATACAGAAACACTTGTGCCATGATTCAATAAAATGTAAAAAAAAGGACACCAACATGGCGGCAGTCATAGCGATGGCGTCCGATGAAACGCCCAGTAGCGTAGATGACCATACTGTATATTGGCTGCTGGTTTAACGTTGTCATTTGTGCAAGAGATGATCAATTCTCAGGGGATACGAAATGTTACGTTTGTTGTATTTATCTATTAAAATAGTTATTAGTATGCACTTAGTTCTCTCACCAGACATTTGATACGGGCCACTTGTCTTACTATAATGTTACCCTTGTGGGCATTATTAGGCTTTTCAGTACCGTAACCAGTGACATGTTACATTGCTGCCTGGCCAAACAGATGGCCTTTCTGTCAGAACCAATCAAACATTAGAGCACGTTTGACGTTAAACGGGGAAAAGAAAGATGTGCTATAGCCAGTTCAAGCACGTAGTATCAATACACAGTTTTTGATTCATATTCTAAGATGCTATTCAACTATCGAGTGTTCATAAGCTGTGCTGTAAAGATAAGAAACACATCTTTTATCTTACTTTTAAAATATTTTAGGCTTGCGGTGTCTCTTGTCCGGGTTCATCTTGGACAAACGGAAGAAGTGCATCTTCGTAGAGCAGAAAATTTATTTGAATTCTCATGCTGTTGTTGGAATAAAAACATTTTGGAGTGTTTGCCAAATCATTTTGAATGGACACGCAAGCCTTTGGATTTTACTCACTTTTCACATTTGTAAATCCAGGCCCGGGCGGGCTGTTTGCTTTGATGAGAATAAACAGCTTATTTTTCGCATGTTCACTGACATTGCTTATGATTATTTTTTCAACTTTTTTTTGTTGTCTATCAAGTTATATTTTTCGTTACCCCAAACTGCCCCGCCGGGAAATTGTGTCTTAGCATTTGAGGACATTGGTAAAGAAACGCAGTTATTTTCTATTGTCGTCAAGCCCAGTAGGTTGAAACAAGACCAAAGACTAGTCCTCATGAAATATGTGAACCTAAGTTATTCAAGTAATCTCCTTATCCATACTGTCGGTTATAAGTTATAGCGTCATTCATTTTCATATCGGGATGAATTCCCAAGATGACCATAACATAGACTGTAATAGCAGCCATTATAGTCTAACTAATGTTAGTCCGGCTTATCGCATCATTCAACACGGTAGGACATATGCATTTCTGTTAATCGCAATTTAGAACGATTAGAAAAAAGAACTATTTCTTTTCGTCAATATATGTTACACGAAATAATGACGACGACTTTAATCAAGATAAATACATCCTGTCTATCTCTACAGTGATTGAGGAAAATGAGCAGATTCTAGACTTGTTAACTATTCATTATCGTTGAAAATATTGGTCAAACAAGTTTTAATTCGAGCAACCGTAGAAGCAATGAAACAAGTAGTTCTAAGCTTTGATGACACTGAAAGAACAGAATAAACAATGAAAAATACCATTGGCCATCCCTTCTGATTGGGCTCTTTTAGAGGTGACCACCAGAACCTAAATATATATTAGATGGTAGAGATGACCTATCAAAGTTACGGCATAATTGAGTCTGTACATTTAAATCGTTAACAGAATCAATCGGTCAGTTATTTCTCGGACTTGACTGAATATGAAAAGACTCATGAAAGCTAGGAGTGACAAGTAAGAACCTGCAAACCCTACCTTAGGCAAAGGAGTTTAAATCTCCTTGCTTTGGTTGAACGTTGCTGACGGTTCACCAGACGAACAGGTGATGCAAAGCAAAGTTTTCTGGATGTATGTGATGTGACGGTCTGACGTTAACAGCTGTTCAACAACTATTTAAGCTCATAGGAGGATTGACGTCACATCGGTACTTACACCCGAACAAGTAAGTACTGTTTGTAAAATGCATTGTGGTTTACGTAACCATTAAAAAAAAGTACCAACTTGCTGGTAAGTTGAAAATATAGCTTTCCAACCAGTATGGTAGTGTGTTTACTGCATTGAGCAAGGAAAGAAATATAAATGAACTTTCCTAAGCTTGTAGGGTTTGCAGTACAGCTACTTGTCAATTCATTTTATCTAGAGTTTGCAGTAAATCAATATTTTCATAGAGTATGCAGTAAAGCTACTTGCAAATGTATTTTTTTTTTTATAAAAGGTTATACATGATATCTTCTAAAAGTGATGTTACTCAATCGTATCTACAATCGTCACCGTCGTTTGACCGTCCAGGGGTGAGCATTTCGGAAATGCGATCGGAACATACCCAGAGATATCAGCGAAGGTATCATTTGCACGCAATGTTGAATGATGATAAAGAGAACATTTGTGAACCCTAGACCTAAACTGAACATCTAAGAGCCATATATCTTCGGGCTCCAGATAGCATGATCACATGAGTTAAGAATAGGTAAAAAGAGAGGACTGTTGTTAACTCAAAAAGACAGAAGAAAAATGCAAATTTTCTAGACAGGTCCAGATCCAATCTACTCTGAAGCTATTTTCGAGAATGATGACCAGAAGCTCTCCTTACTGGAACTGACGTGTGTGACCCAGATTTCACCAGCAAGATCCCTTCTCATCCCAGTCTTGATCCGTGAGTGGCCGGTAATTATGACTCTTCGGTGTGACTGTGAATAGACCTGACTGGTCAAGAGCACCAACTAGCTGCTGAAGTTATAATGGGACGTACTGGTCCGTTCTTGTGTGTTTTTACTGAATAGCAAGTAGAGCCAATTTCCGTCTCCTGGAGGGTCATTTACCAGAAGGAGAAGATTGAATAGCCAGTGCATGAATAGAGGAGAATTCTTTCTAACTTGGAGAAGGAAGATCCCTATCTTACCCTCTTTGTCCATGTCAGAATCGTGTTTTACTTACAGAAACGATTTCTTCGTAAGTCGTAGATGTTCACAAGGGAATTCACCAGGGATGAAAATCACCGCAGCGTAACGTATTGTTTCGCAATGGAAAAACGTTTTGCAGTCAAGGGCTGTCCGTGAATTTGCGTCAGTATCATCAGTGCAACTTTTGTCATCGATTTTTAAAATAATATATTCCTGTTAACTGTGCCTACATACCAGGTGTATTTTCTGAATAAAACGTAAAGAAGTCAATGAGATACACACACTACGATAATGATGTCTATCGTTTGCTGACTTTTCTTTTGCTGTACATTTTCCATTCCTCTATTGCTTTCATTGGGCTAGAAAAAAAGTAAAAATACTTATGTATGTTGTGGTAGATATCTAACATAGGTGAGTAATCACCTGTTTTCTCTCCCCCCTCCATTTTGTAAATGGTGAAATTTAATACTAGATAAAATGACAAACGAAAATAAAGAAATGAAAAGAGGGTGAAAAAACCATGCACCATATTCTTATCGATGGGTATGGTAAAGAATTAAATGAAAAAGAAGAGGCTCATCATGAAAAAGGGTGATACGCCATATTGATGGTGAGGGGTACGGGAGAACAAATGGACTTCACGGTAGATCAACAGGTCTTCGACCGGGGTGTTTCTTACATCAGCGAAAATCCGCCCGAGAACGGGAAACAGGCCGCGAGCCAAAGTCAATGAGGCGGAGATAATAGAAAGCAACGTCGATAAGGTGCAGATCAAAGCTAAGGGCGTACGGATAGGCTTTTCGGAAATGCTTTTCTCACGCCTTTTGGTCATTGAGGAATATCTAAAACTCACGCGGAATCATGAAAGACAGACAAGCAGTCGAAGAACGGAATCTGCCAAGGAACGTCTACTGCAGACTTGCTGCCGAACTGCCATAGCTCGAACAGCTAGAGAAGCGTTATTTTCTAACGTGAAAAAAGTTAGAAGCAAGGCCCTCCATGTGAGAGGATGAAATAGCCAGAGGTGAGCAGGGTCGCCCCACGATCAATGAAAGTAATACTGCTGAGTATTTCGATGGACGCTTTCCATATCGCCGGCATTAGCCTGTAACGATGAGATTGCCCGGAATAAGCCTCCCGCAGATCCAAAAACACCGGGGAATGCTAAGATACCCCATGGGCTGAGATAGCCCATAGAGAAATCCTTTACCATTATTTTACCGTGATTGATGACCCAACTATAATGACGACCTGTTTTGCTTTAAGAAACTGAGATCGTTTTCAAGCAACGCAGCTAAAACATCTGGGAAGTCCAGGTTTTTCAGTCGGAGCTATATCTACTATTGAAAAAAAAAGCATTTCCATCTATTTCTTGATTTACCGACATATCCATCTTATCTTCAATTGTAAGAACACGGACTGGTTACGATAAGACACCGAACGCCAGTCTTCAGCGACGTACCTGGTCTCCTTTGCTCCTTCTCGGCGCAGAAGTTGCTCCTGGAGTGGCCCTGGCAACCTGTTGTCTGCTACGAAATCCGGAGTCTCAGTGTTGCGCCCTCCTGCTGCCGGCTTTATTCCTCCCAGCGCTGATGAGATTTGTAAGTGGGCGAAAAGCGTTACTCTCGGCTCTGTTCAGGCTCCGCCAATGCTATTAAACAGGCTGGGCGGCTGCTGCAGTCCCCGAGGATTCTCTCCTCAGTCAAGACGTCATTAACGTTTAATTGATTTGATGCACTGCCCAATGATATCGTGTCTTTTTGATGAGCTGGAATGAGGGGTGATGCGCTGGTAAAGTAAGCTTAAGTGCCTCGGCAGGAGTAATTAAGACAACTAAAGTTGTTATGGCAGTTCAGAGGGACCTTTTATACCATAATTTTCACTAACTTTGCTCAACTGTACGCCGCTAGTTTGAGGCGGGACTAACACATGGACAAACAGAGATAACAAAAGCATTGGCGATACAAAATCACTACATACATAAACATTGATGACGCTATATTTCTTAATCTCCTTTCCTTTGAAAACATTTCGTAACTTCATGTCGTAAATCATTAAAAAGATTATAGATCTTGACGTCAGCAGGGATTTGTATCTTTGAATAAAAGACGGAGCGTTTTGGCTAGTAATTGACATTTTACCACCCCGTATAAATATTTCATGTCGCACACAGGAAAAAACATGTGAGTCAGTCGGACCGTTTGCTGACCAAGCGAACTGCCGACAATCTATCGGCATGTCGATTCGGCACAGATGTTACATCAATATCAACTTCAATACACGTCATCACCCCATGACGCGACCGGAATGAGGTACATCCACGCGAAAACTAGTTTCCCGACCTCTGAAGTCATTTGTCCTCGCTGGAAGGGGGTAGTTTTCTCTGACTAATGGACGCCAATAATGGAAGTGAAGGAAACTGAATTAGGGCTTACGGATGAAGGTTTGCCGACAACTGATAAGTGACCAGAAGGCTCTCTCTCTAAACCGTGACGTCGCAGCGGGTAAAAGTTTTCACGCAGGCAGCGGGAAACGGCAACTCATCTTGTGGACATGTGTGTTTGAGCACTGTACTCGGCAGCTGAAACAAAGTACTTGAATACTAGAACACACATGTATATGGCAGAGACTGTTAGTTACAAATAGGACCATTCAGAGATCAGCCGAAGATGATGTTGTAGGGAGGAATTAACATTGGCCAGTACGTGCGTCTGCGTGTCTGGTTGTATATGTTTTCTGTGCTTTTTTTTATTACAACAAATGGTGACTGCACATTTTTAAGCATTTCTCTTAAAAAGTAGATCTCCTCTTAAAAAAGTAAATGCAATAAAATATACTGTGACAGTTTGTCAATGTCAGTAACAAAACCTATCATGTCTGTGCTTATGCGCGTGTGTGCCTATATGTCTCTGAATGTATGGTTGTAGACTCCAAGGCTGGACATGACAGTGTTCGTTTCTAGTTCCAGGATCAGCGGGTCAACGAAGACGCTAATTTGCTTTAATGAGATGTTCAATCAATTTAAGCCCGCGACGACAGCTCATTAGTAATACAATATGCATGTTAAAACACGTGTAAGATTATGTCCCACATGCCATCAGGCTGAAAGCGACTGTGTATAATTGTCCAGATTAGAATGGTCTTTAATCAACTGCCGCCATACCCTGAGGCCTGTTATCAAACGGATTACAGATGCCGTCCTGCATTCTTACCTCTTATATTTTGCTCAGGTGGACTAAGACATGTTCAGCGTAGACAAAGCCCTAATCAGCGTGAAGTCCCAACGTTAATCAGCTGTATTTTCAGTGCGGCAGGAAAAAAACGACTCAAATTTTGACACACATTTGAAAAAGATTGAGTGGCTTCGAGCTGTTTATGACATGTTAACAAATCTTATAACAAATCTTATATAAAAACCATGCAATCTAGCGATATCTAAGATATGTCATTTCACAGTTATTGGAAAAGTCAAATATTCCTCATTTTTTCTAATAAGTAATTTAGCTTATTTCAGTTCCATAGTTCCATTTGTCTGCATCTGGTCTTTTATAAGCCAATAAAGGTCGGTTGTCTTCTATCTTAGGTAGGAATATAATTTATGAAATTATCAATAGCTGGTGATGTGGATATAATATTTCCTTATGTGCTTGTTGTAAACGTTTCTTTTAAGATATCTGTAAACATTTTTGTTTATGTTAGCAATTATAGCTAATATAATGTAAACTATTTACACATCTACCCCCGGGTATTAACGTGTGTTAATTGCTGCTGCAATCATCGTGATTACATTTATTAGCCTTTTATATTTGCAAACAACTAGCAGAGTCATACTAGAAATACTCCTTTTTACTGCCTAGATGCTGAAATAGTAGAGAAAGACACCACGAATGTGTCCGTAGCAGCTGTCTTGGTGTGATTTATCTTTCCTCCCACTGTGCACATTCATTTCTCGGTGAAACCATCCACAAAATTACTATCGCCGCACAGGGACCCGGCTAGTTAGCTGTCGTGGAGAATCGTTCATTCTATTGATTTTTTTGGTCATATTTACCGCGAGTCCGAAACGTTTATGTGCGGCTAAACTGTCCACCAATCGATCTCCTGACATCAGGAAGAGCGCTGGAAATGACCGGCCTTTAGAGAAGCAGGACTTGCAAAGCTTCTTCTGTGTGGGCAAAGGGCGGGCCGGGCAGCTTGGTCGTAATTTCATGCCAGTTGCGTACTTTGTCGGCAGATTACATAGACGAGAGTCGAACGGTTTGGGTCTATTATCAACGTCAACTCTGCTGGAGGGGGATAATAATTCCGTCAGTTGGTCGCATGAAGGTCGAGTACCCATTAATAAAGGCATCTTGCCGAGACGTACGTGCAGTACGTAGAGGGTTGTGACTGACTTTAATGTGACTCATTGCTTTCAATTTGCATCGTGTGCGACGTACATTCTTACCCGTCGTGCGTAGTTTTATTTGTTGAAATGGTAATAAAACCCGTAACCGTTTATAAGCTGTAAATGTATACTACTAGTATATGCGGGAATCGTACATCGTACATCGTACATGAAGTGGTTAAAGCGAATAACAGTACAAAATGCGTCTCTCTCTCTCTCTCTCCCCCTCTCTCTCATTTTTCGAAGAAGTGAACAAGGACAGCTGCCTGGCAGCAATCCCAAAGACAGACTGCAAGCAGACACACCCACTCACTCACAAACTGTTGAGTCCTTCAATACGTCTTCATGATTTAACTGACTCAGCGACCCGAACAGTTGATGCTAGTACTTCCTAAGTGAACTAAAGAGATTCTACTCAGCGAAGAATCAATATAACCATAATTGAATGGAAGTTCCATCCACAAACCCAATGCACAGCATACAGAATATGATATTCTTTTTTTAAAACTTTCTTGGCGATGTCAATAGCATCTACTAATATTGCAGACTGCCAACCTTCCTCCCCGTAAAGTTTTGGTCACAAAACATGCTACAGAGCAACGTGCTCATTTCTGTAGGTATTACGCGGTATTAATTTCTCCATCTGCCGCGCTTTGATCGTCAGCCGTGCGGGGGGAGCGTGTTGGTACGCCGCGTGGCAGCAGAAACAGAATGATTCATCAGGCGCGGTCTAACCCCTCCCTCTCCGCACTGATAAGATTAAAGCCCATTAGGTGGGAGGAAATTGGGTAGGACATGCCCGGCGGTTTGGCTTTGTGGAACTTCCCGTTCTTAAACTGCTGACCTTAATGGATTCGCTGACCAAGGGAACCCAAATCCCCATCGACCTTTTTCGATAAAACACTGACGGTTGTTGCATAAAGATATCTTCAGCTCTTCTGAAACCTACACTGGGCTAAGTTGAGAAGTTGAGTATGTCTGGAGAGCTCGCCGATAACACTCGACTTTAATGCACTACGGTACTTACTAGTACTCTGTCATCAAGTTTAAACAAGGCAATGGTCAATTGACATTGCCCTAAATAAAGGTGCCCTGTTTTGGAGTGTAAATCCACTGCGAATAAATGCATTAAAAAGTGACCACGGCTAGAATTCGGTCAAGAAGGCCACCAGCATGGCGGCCACTATAAACGCCTAGTATGTTTTTGTTGTAAAAAATGATGATTCAAAATTACTACTAGACTCCACCAACTTTTTTTATACCTATGACGTTAGTCGCTGATGTTGTCCCATGAAATATTTCCATTGGAATGAGCTGGTATTGAGAAGGCAGGGAATAAATCTTCGTACATCGTTACTTGGACATATGTGTCATAAATCTTGATTGGATTTTAAGCTGTAACTGATTGTGGGGACAGCGTATCAAATGATCTGAACATATTCATCCGAGCAAGCGAGCTCTAGCTAGCAACAATAAGAGATTTAAAAAATCTTGAAGTTTTGAATACACCATTTGTTGCATTCCGAAATGGTCCTGTTAAAGTTTCTAGTAATCTGCACTGTAGAGTTTTCACTCTCATTGAGGCAAACGTGCCTTTGGCATGTGAAGTTTCTGATACTTGTTTATTTTCTTACTTCGCTTAACTGGTAAAACTCTTGCTTTGTACAGTACTACGTACAAGCTGTGTAAGACCAGACTGTAAGGCTTGAACAACTCACAGAGAGAATAACCTCTACTGTTTCGATAAGTGCGTTGGCTTTAAGTGTACTTGAGGTGTGGTTTTCCTAAAAGGGACCTCCGGCGCTTTACTTCCCTTACAAAAGGATGCCCCTTACAGAAGGTACCAGGTGTAAAGTGCCTTCACCATTGACACTACAGCGGGGCCGGTCAGGTATTCGAACGCCTATAACCTTCACATCTCAAGTCAATGCCCGCAAGCACAAACTACTTTGCCACCTCAAGGACGGGTGCTGAGATGTTTATGGGGAAGACTTGGGTAGATGAGGTGCTATAATGAAGCAAGCTTTACTTTTTTTCACGGTCTCAAATGGACAGTGACTATAAAGGAAAAGCCTCGCTGATGATGCGCGTGACGCCGCCTGCCGCCCCGCACCTGTTCATTACAATGATGGTAAACACTCTGTGAGGAAGAACATTTACAACTAGAAAAATGGTGTATTTAACTTTAGTTGGAGTCACAAGGCACTTGAAAAGCAGGTGTCTCGTTAGTAAGGGGGCTTCTTTGTTCTCCCA